GGGCAAATGCCCATTTCATCTGGAGATTTGCCCATTATAATTTTTATTAGTAAGTTTTTGCCCATTGAAATCTTACTTTTCAGAATTATTTTTTTATTTTTGAATTAGATAGTAACTGTATTTTTTTCTTCCGTCTGAATCACACATGCAATCTTTGCCTACTCTTTCTGTGAAGAATTAAGAAAAGCAGAAGAAAAGAATCGCTTCTGGTATTTTAGCCAGGGTTGCCAGGTGAACAACTTAAAAATCAAAAATTCTTATTTTCAAAATCCGAAAAAAATCAGAATTTTTTCTTCAAAATCGAAAACTAATCAGAAAGAATAACTTTCTGAAAATCAAGGGCTATCATGTTGACATATTTACAAAATGCTCCACTATTTTTGTTTATCGACTCATACTTTATTTCCAAAAGTATTTCATAGTAAAGAAAGACAACGAAAAAAATTATACAGCTTAGAGTAACAGATCATGCACTGTAAGCTAAGGAGATTGATCATAGTCGGATCAAATGAATGCTGTCACTGTCAAACCCAACTAGTTAAAAATATAAGCTGCCAAGAGTGTACACAGACCGAGATATGCGAGTTTCAAGAAATTTACAGTTTCTTATATGCCCACACTACGAAATTTCATCAACACTTAGTTTTCTTTGCTTGCCATGGTTGGATGGAGTACGACCATTTACATACGAAAAAACAATATTGCGCGTATTAAAAAGCAAATTCGACGAAGTCTAAGACAGCATCTTTTTAACTAGAAGGGTAATAAGCAAAAAATTCTAATTGCTGTCAAATTGCTTTTGAATATATGTGATATTGTTTCTTCTTATGTAGATAGTTGTGTTCCATCCAACCATGACGAAAAAACAAACTAAAGGTTGATGAAGTTTCGCAGTGTGGGCACATGACAAACTGTAGGTATCTTGAAATTTAAACTTCCCGAACTGTGTATGCTATTGGCATCTCATATTTTAAATTAGTTGGTCTGTGAGTGAGAGCATTCATTTGATTCGACTATGAGCAATCTCCTTAATTTGCAGTAATATGATCTTCAATTGTTAGTTAATACAAAAAAAGCTAGCGAAAGACACCTAGTGTCGGAATCTTTTACGGAGCTTAATACTCTTTTTACGAAATTATGTGGAAACAAACATATATAAACTATGCAGATCAAAAAATCTTACGAAAAATAATAAATAGGTTATAGAACATAAATTCCATATTATTTTTCAAGTTTTCCTTTGTTTGAAATTCCTTCCATAAATGTTTTTGGGCTAAAATATGTTTACAAAATCGTTCAAAAAATAATTAGCATTCATTCTTAAGTTCAGCAACGCAAAAATTTACTGATATATTAAAGTATTTGTCAGTAGTTGCAGAACTCATAAACTAGAAAAGATTAAGATAGGAAAGAAGGTAGCGCAATATGGATCTATAGTATTAATGAGTTATAGTCGTAATTAATTTCGCTAGTAAAGTCATCATCTAAAACGTTTGAAATCGGCAACAAATCAGAAAAAAATCGGAAAAATGTTCAAATTTCAGAAATTTCCCTAACTTTTCAGAAGATCTGGCAACCCTGATTTTAACTGTAAGTGTGGGTGAACACGAACATATATATGTGTAGATATATATGTCAGCGTCCAAACTGAGATTACGTCCAATCTCAGTTTGGACGCTGACATATACATATAGGAAGAATTCTGAACATTAACTTATGCATGTCTTTTTTACGTTATTAGTACTTTGTGGGACCAAAAAAGTTTTGACCTAATAACAAAAACCTTATCCATTTCGCGCATCGATCTTTTCGACATAAGAGAAGTTTGCCCATTGATCTAAAAATCCTGGTTACGCCGCTGTTAACGATAAAGTGATCATTACCGACCAGTTATGTTATCGAGTAAAAAAACACTTGTTAATTCCATTTTTGACTCAAAGTGGGCTCATTTGCCGAAAATCAAAATTTCTTATAAGGCTTGATCAAAAGTTCTCGGAATCCTAGAATATAAATCTATTGATGAAATTTTGAAATTTTCAGTTTTGAAATCTTCACTCAGGAAAGACTATTTCTTGATAATAGCGATAGCATACATTTTGAAAATCTATCAATAGACTCAGATTCTTCGATCCCGAAAACATTTGATCAAACTTAATATGAAATCCTTATTGCCATAAAAAAGGCTTTTTAGAATCGAAAATGAAACTGACAAATTTTCCCGTAGCCCGATAACATAACTGGTTGATAATGATAACTTCATCCTGAAGCCTCTAAATTAAATACAAACCAATAACCGCTGAGCAGCAAGTGGAAAGAGGAAGTAAAAGTAAGAGTAAGCGTGACACTCCTAACCATGATATATTGAAGTTTTCTCCAAGATGATGTTCGATGAATATATTACATGGAAAAGATCAAAGCTCATTGTTTTGCTAACATCTATATTAATGCGAAGACTAATTGAAGTTCTTACTTTGTAATTCAAAAGGTGGAAAATCGATATAAAAGCACATGATTATATCATTACAGTTTCTCATTCATAGTAAAAGTTATGGGCCTCAAACTTTGTAGTTATTTAGTATTTAGTTAATGTAGTAATTTGTTGAAGTTCCAAAGAGTTTGTTGTTCTTGAATGGAAGAACATCGTGTTCAAAAATCGTTTCAGAACTTTGAGAACATCTCTTATATACAGTACTGGTCAAAATTATAAGAACAATGCTTTTTTTTATATTCATAACTTTATTTCCGTGTTTTCATTTCTTGAATTGATGCGTCTCCCAAAACATACACATTTTGTTGTGCTCTATCCGAATATGAGTCTAAAATGTCGTCAGGATCTTTTGTTTTCATACAAATAGTTTTCTAAAAACGATGCTGTTTTCCTCACTAAGATGATGGAGTACAACTTGCTTCTCATAATCTGTTGTGTCACTATGGAAGCTGAAATGCTTTACACAATGAACTACTTTTTTATGGCAGCTTCTACTTGAGACGAGGTGGAAACTGAGTGACTCTCTGGACATATTGAAAAAGAAGAAAGTTGTTAAGCGATAAAATCGTTCTTCTCTTGAAATTGGTTTTCATGTTTTCCCAGTAATGAATTTTTTGACGTCAGGAGTCGATTGCTGTCCGAATTAAACTGTAAGAACTCATTCCAGCTATCGATGGCTAACTCAAAACTCGATATTATCTGTCTGTGATAGGGTCATGGATCACAATATTCGTATGAAAGCTCTTTCTGTCTATTATCAAATTGTATATAAGAGTATGGCAAATTGTGATTCTTTTTTGTTTTTTTTTGAAATAACATGGTTCACTAGTATATACAGTACGAAGACATTCGTATAAAATCTCAATTCCTACAGTAATTATGAAAATGGACATCCACTTTAAATTATATATCATTCGATAACTTGTTTGAAGCTCGGCAAAACAGTATTTTACATCGAACTTAATTTGTATCTAAGATCTGTCCTCATATTGCATATACGAGTAATCCCATGTTATCTCAAGAAAACAAAAAAAGAGCAACGTTTTCTTATCATCTTATATACTATCAATAGCAGACAAAAACAGTTTTCATTCAATATATAATTCAAGTTAAAAGAATACAAGACGGAAGAAAAACTTTTCATATGAACATTGTGAACCATGACCCGATCCAAGATAGATAATAATATCGAGTGTTGAATCAGCCGTCCACATCTAGAACGAAGTATAACGGTTTAAATCGAACGACCATCGACTCCTGATATCTAAATTCATTATTGAGAAAACATGAAAATAAATTCAAGAGGAGAACGATTTTATCACTTAACGATCTCCATTCTTGTGGAAAATTGCGTTTTTATCCTCTAATTTTGAGTAGCTTTTAATTTTGAACATTTCGTTGGAAAGAGCACCATAAACGACATCAGAATTGCTATTGTAACAGTTCATTTATACTGAAAAGTTAAGCAAGTCGATTCTTATGCCCTCAAGGACTATGAGACTATAAGCAAGTTGTAGTGAGCAATGTTAGATAGGAAAAAATATCGTTTTTTGGTAAAGCTACTGTTATGACAGAAAAAAGCCTTGACAAAATTTTAAGTTCCTATTCGGATAGAGAGCAAAAATGCGGGTGTATGGGCAAACACCTCAATTGAAGAAGCAAATGAAAAGACGAAAGCTAAAAATATCAATTAGCCTGCTTGATATTACACATCAAACAGTAAGGTTTGCTGAATGCAATGCAACTTTAAAGCAGTTTTTCTGCTATTAAAATACGGAGTCTAAAACGAAATGGACAGTTAGAAATTGTGGCACATCTTCACTCATGTTCAACAACTGAAATAGTGCGAGCACTAAGAGTTGCAAATATTGTTCAAAATTAGACTGTATTGTTTTCACCACTAATGATCAGTTATGATTGAAAGATGTTACAGTTTTCTTAAATTTTTTAAATATTACATTTGATTTTGTTTGTCATAAATTATATCAGGTTATGTTTTACTAGATCTTATGCTCATATGCGTAGATTTAACTATATTTGACGTACTACTACATCGTAATCCTTTAAGAAAATTTTGAAATAGCAGCTCTTTAACAGTACTATACTTGGCTCGAAAGTTGTAGGATTTGATGCATTCATTATTGACCAAGCAATATGGTGAATCACTTTATTATCGTCGTCTATTTCCTCTTGATAATACATCCAGACGATACATTATTTATTTTGAATTGTACAATTCTGCTTTATGAAAAAATACTGAAAATAGAATTGTTAAAAGTTTTCATAGTATTCTTCTATAATGGTCAATGTTGGGTGAGCGATCACACGAAAGTAGAAAGAGAGATGCACACAGGTAGAGAAGAGAATATAAACTGAATAGAGCATAACAATGAATAACCATCACACATGTGTTTTTTATTGATGAAATGAATGAATATTTGCCGTTCTATTAATATAATTTTAGTTGGTTTTGTGAATTACGAAATCATAATCATTTAGATAAAATTCGAAAATGTTAAAGGATCATCGCATAACAACAATATCGTCCATTGTATCGTTAGCTTCCAATGAAAACGGAATTGAACTTAATGATACTCGTACGAGTAACGATAATCACAGTATTGGCTTACATACAAGTTGCTTTCGTGAAAAGTGTAATTCTATTACGAGTTGTTTCCATCAGCTTGTAAAAAGACTTGCTTGTCTTAATCTAGAACAGCGTGGTAGTGAACGTATATCACCAGAAGATCGAACCGATTTGACAATTATCAACACGGCAATTATATGGGTAAGAAAATCTAGAAATTTGATTAATAGTTTCCTGAAGATTTTCAATGACTTTTATTTAGTTCTACAATACTGAAGATAAAGCACCTACAGTGCTTAGAGAAATCTTTGATAGAAGATACGCTAGTCTTTTATTTTTTACTAACTCAAAAATCCTTTCAAAACTGGCTGGTTTTATACTGCTTGAATGAGTCTATAGGAAAAACTAAATGCTTTTTGAAACATATCGATATTCTTTATTACTTTGACTTTATTTTATTCTAACCCTCAGCAAATCTAATGAGTGAAAGAAATAGTTAACTATAGTCACTTTAGATTAGAAGAAAAATGTGTTAGCGTGATAAATTTTGTTGGTTTTTGAAGAATTCTTTTTTTAAACAGAGTGTATGAAACTGTGTCCTTAATTTTAAAAAAATCACCGATCCAATCACTCTCGACCTGTTCTGGTTTCGAACATATGTCAGCATTATAATCATAAAGAAAATATTACGAAATTACAAGACATTGAATAATAATCTTCCTAAATTTTCATCAGAAAAGAAAAGATCTTAAGTGTTTACCAAAACTATTGAACTTAGGTGTGCAGTTTAGATTATCATTGTTACTCATTTTTTGTCTATTAGATCAGTGCAAATCTAATTATACCGTGTTTTGCTGGCGGTACACTCGGTCCAGCAGTATTTAAATTAAGCCTCTACGATTCATTTGCAACTATTATCTTTTTCAATTTACTTGGTACTATTCCAGTAGCAGCCATGGCTTGTTTTGGTCCAGCATCCGGTCTACGTACAATGATCTTTTCTCGTTACAGTTGGGGTTATTATGGGGCCTCAATAATATCAATTAGCAATGTTATTGCCTCAATTGGTTGGGCAGCTGTTAATAGTATCACTGGTGCACAAACATTACGTGTTGTGTTTAATGATTCATTGCCGATAGCTGTCGGTATTATTATTATTGCGATTATATCGATGATCGTCTCCTTTATAGGTTATAAATGGATTCATGCCTATGAACGATATTCATGGATACCAGTATTTATAGGATATTGTATATTAGCGGGAGTTGGTGCAAAATATTTTACAAATTCTGGAATGGTAAAATTCGTAAATTGAGCAGAAGTCTACTCGCTGACATATTTGATTCTTGAAAAGAAATTGTCTAGTATTTTCAAAAAGATAGCGGCATTTTTGACAAGAGAAAACTTTACTTTTTATTGTTAAGTCGAAAGCAATCTTATGATCATGATCGAAAAACTATTGACAAAAACTTGAACTGCTTGCAAACTTTTCATCTTAGTTGAAAACGCCATGCATGTAAAGATGTGTTTGTACAGAAAATTTTCATTTTTCCTAAAAAACCTATCAGAAAAGTGTGTTGAAAATGTGTAGGATGACTTATAAAAGACACAAATAAAACGTCTGTTTATTCTCGTAATCAACTTCGCGTGAAAGTGAGATCATGCTGTTAATTTATATGAGAAGTTTTGAAGTGAATGAATGATATTCTATATATTTACGTCCTATATAGGTATCTTACAATACAACTATACCAATCAATAGTAGCCATCGTCTGAAAGTATCTCGTATTCTAAGTTTTGGCGCAACATGTTTTGGTGCTTCAATTAGTTGGTGCGCATGTTCAGCTGATTACAACACGTATTTTCCTGAAGATACAAGTCAATTAAAAATCTTTCTTCTCACTTATTTCGGTAATCTTTTGTCAATGATTCCAATACAATTACTTGGTGCAGCTACTTATACTGGTACATATACAAGTGAGAAGTGGAATCGCGCGTATGAAAAAAACAATGTTGGTGGATTATTAGGTGCTAGCCTATCGTCTCTCGGTGGTTTTGGTAAATTTCTACTCATTCTATTTGCATTGTCAACTATTGCATGTAATATACCAAACATTTATTCTTTATCATTATCTGCGCAAGTAATTGCACCAATATTTAAACGTATACCGCGTTTTCTGTATACAGTTATTGGTACTGCATTATATATTCTATTAGCTATTGTTGCTGCAAGTAAATTTAATGATTCATTAGCATCAATTATGGGTGTATCTTCATATTGGTTTGCAATATTTATTGTTATTGTATTTGAAGATCATCTATTTTTTCGACGTTGTTCATTTAAAAATTATAATTTTGATATATGGGATAGCTATCAGTTATTACCAATTAGTTTAGCTGCAATTCTATCTGGAATAGTTGGAATTGTTGGTATTATACTTGGAATGTCACAAACTTGGTTTAATGGACCAATTGCAAAAGCTATTGCACGAGATACTGATGCACAGGGTGCGGATGTTGGCTTTGAATTTGGATTTATTTTTACAGCAGTTTCTTTTCCATTATTTAGACTTATTGAACTATATTTTGTTCAAAGATAATTATTTTTTGTATATTTAAAGATGAACAGATTATACACGCAAATATAATGATCATCAGGAGCCGTGGAAGCGGGTGGATGTATACATTCTCCTCCCTCCTCCAATATATGAAAACTGTTCATTATTACCCAGTAAAAGTAGCTGAATTTTTCTCATTGTCGACTATCTCTATTAGACATTTTCTTATACATCATCTTTAATCTTGAGATTTACGTGTGGTAACTGCCTATTACTACAACATAATTAACAAATTAAGTAGGTTGTTTTTCATAATAATTACTGTTAGATGTGAAATGATTATTAATAGTCAAGATTCCAGTATATCTTATTAATGTAGTTGATCAAAATACAATTTTTATTATGATTTTCAGTTTATTAAACAAGTCAAAACAAAATTCTATTTATAATGAAAGAAAAGTAAAAATAGAATTTTTTTGAATTTAACAATGATCTTATTATTATTAAATGTTTCACCTTAATATAGTTCTGTCACGATACTTCTTGTGTAAAGTTCCTTGTCGTAGTTCTAACGTGACTATAAATTGGGTTTGACACGGTACATAGGTCTTTGTTTCATTTAAAAATTGTTCAACATAATCAATATTTTCGCTACTGACATCAAGTATATAGTACGACGAGGATATTTAGCAATTGGATATGATTGACTATTGTCAGATTAAAATGTGTTAAGATTACATGACGATTGCGAATTGAGATTTATAACATGAAAATTACTCAATAATGGAAAAGATCGAGCAACTTGTATGAAGAATTCATAATTGAATGGACGTACATCTTGTACCAACAAATACGTAACATAATTTAATGCAACATTTGGCAACAATTTTGAAAAAAATCATCCTTCTTTTTATGTCCGACCGTCATTGAAAAGAAAAAATAAATAATAATAATAATCATCATTTTTTGTTATCTGTAGATAGTGAAAACTCAATCGAAGAAATCGAACCACTCACAAATATTTTTTGGCTTCAATTTTATCTTGCTCAACATTATGATTATTTGAGTGATATAAATAAAGCATTTGGATATATCGATCAAGCTATATGTGATATATCAACACTTGTAGAACTTTATATGTATAAAACAAAAATATTTAAGGTTTATTTTTCTTATTTTGTTTTTTTCATATCTAAATTATATTTGTTTTATAAAATAGCATGTGGGTGATTATCAAACAGCTGCTTCATGGGTGGATGAAGCTCAATCACTTGATACAGCTGATCCATATGTAAATTGTAAATGCACACAATATTTCTTACGTGCTAATCATATAAATACTGCACTTGAAATAGCTGAAAAATTTATACAAGTAAAAAGATTTTTCTATTTTAAATTATAAAATTTGTAAGATTTCCTTGTTATTAAAGAAAATTTTTCACCATCTGATTATCTGCATGAAATGCAATGCATGTGATTTGAATTGGAAATGGTTCGAACTTATCGTCGTTTAAAAAAAATGGTGAAGCTTTAAAAAACTGTCATGAAATTGATCGAGTATGTTCTTTTTTTTAATTTTATTTTCGTTTAGCATTTTCAAGACTTTGTTGAAGATCAATTTAACTTTTCATTCATATTGTCTTCGTAAAATGGTACTATGTGTTTACGTTGATATGCTCATTCTTGAATATCATATGAAAGGTCGTCGGTTTTTTTTGGTCAAGCAACACAAATTACTGTTGAAGTAAATGAAGAAACTAAAAGAAAAAGTGAAAATAAAATTCTTTGTTTTTATTATTTAGATTTATATTCATCTTTATGATTATCCTCCTTCTGAACAAGATAATGATAAGAATGACAATCTTTGTAAGGGAAATAAATGTATCTCTGACTCTATTTGCATACGTTACTACTCTAAATTGAAAACTGATTTAAAACTAAAAAGTGAAATGTTTTAAGATGAACTTTAGATTACGCTCAGTGAGTGTCAAAACTATTTTGTACAGTACGTGTCAATTGATTCCCTCTTCATCTCTCCGTCCTTTCTTGCTCTTTATTAGAACTATTTACAATATGTGTGTGTTTTTCGATAATCGGTATAGAGCGAGAAAGTGCAGACATTACTGCATTGCATGTTGTACTAATTATAAATAGTAGCTACAGTTCAGAGAAGAAAAAATACATGAGAAAAAAGATGGTATATTTTTTTACTACAGGGTAACCTGAAAGTTATCACACCTGAAAAGTCTTTTTTGGATATTTCTTCGTCGTGTTTTGTTAAAATGAGCTGATATTTTTGCTAATGATAAAGACGTACTCATGGTTTATGTTAAGAAAAACTGTTTTGAGATGTCAGTATTGATTTCAATAAAAAGACTGAAACATGCCGCAAGAGAGCTTAGGACATATTTGCAGTTTTCTCAAGAAATTTCACTTGTTCATGACTGAAACTCTCATAATACACTAAGTAACAAGAATTGTTTTGATCAGGATGATATAGTGGCTTTTTTTCAGAACTTGTACAAGATTAAAATTTATTATTGGAGTCAATAGTAACATTTCAAAACAGTCTTTGTCAAAATTTTTTCTATAAATATAAGCTATAAACGCTCCTTCATCATTGGTAGAAAAGATCAGCTCATCTAATCAAAATATGCTGAAGATACTCATTTTTGTTCTCGATATAGTAACTATTAGGTTACCATATAGTAAAAAAATATGCTATCTTTTTTTCTCATGTAATTTTTCTTCTCTGAACTGTAGCTAGTATTTATGATTGATATACCATGCGATGTAATGATGTCTGCGTTTTCTCGCTGTATATCGATTATCGAAAAACAAACACACATTGTAATAGTTCTAATGAAGAGCAACAAAGTGTGGAAGGGCCCGGCGGGAGAGGGAAGGAGAAGAATCAATTGGCACGCACTATAAAATATCTTTTACAAACTAGAATGAATCAGATAATAATGAAGTTATTCTATTTGTAGCTAATATACCAGCTGGTAAAGCTAAGAAATTAAAAAATAAATTACGTAAACAACAAGAAAAACAAAAACAAATTGAAGATGAACAACGTAGAAAAGAATTTCAACATAATCGATATCCAGGAACGTCCGAATTCGATGAAACTTTCAGGATATGTTGGGGTTGGAAATAGAAGACTACCATAAAATTTTCAGCCCAAAATATTCAGGTTTCAGGGAGATATGAACCAAAAAAAGGGTCAAAAATGACTCATTTGGCATCCCAAATTTTTTGGTCCTGATTCGGTCAACATATTAATATTTTTTGTTGTTGGAAAGAGCATCTCAAGGTGCAGGGCATGACGAGGCCGCTTTTTTTAAACAGTCCTTTTTTAAGCGCAAAAAATGGGTCACAAGTTCAATGACTCAAAAAAGTATCAAAAAATGGTAGCAAAATCATATAAATGGCTGTATATTAACCAAACAAAGGCTTAATTCAAAAAAAGGGCACGGTCATACCCTGCGCCTTGAGATGCTATTTCAAACAAAAAGAAAATTTTAATACATTGAACGAATCGGGAAGGAGAAATTTGGGATGCACTTTTGAGAAAGTGGAAACTGAGAAAACACGAAAAACATTTTTTGATTTTTCAAAAAACAGCTGGTTTTTCGAATAGGGGGTGACGGAAATCTTGAAAATTTTTTGGGAAAATGAAGTAACGCGAAAAACAAATTATCTTTTATGAAAGAGCAGATGACGGGCTATCTCCCCATGTATTTATCTCAATTTCGGAATTTTTGACGAAAATTGACTTTTTTTGAGCAGGGGGAGGGCCTTAAGCCACTTCCACTCTCAAAAATAGTTCATTTTGTGAAAAATATAAAAATTGAGATAAATGCATGGAAAGATAGTCCAGCTTCTGATCTTTCACAGATGACAGAACTTTTTATTGGTACCTCGTTTTTTTCCAAAACTTCTCGTCATTTTCTGTTTGAAAAATATGTTTCTTTTTCAAATAAGATAAAAAGCTTTTTTTTTTATTTAAAAGATCATCTCAAAATGCAGGGCATAACACAGCCCATTTTTGTTTTTGAACTAAGCTTTGCTACTATTATACAAAAGAGTATTTTGACAACTAGAGCCTCATTGTTTGAGAGTTTTTCAAGCATTTAACTTTAAAAAAAAAAAAAAGAAAATTTTGGGTTGATAAACGAGCTATTTTTGACTCTTGATTGTCGAATAAATTTCATTCGATTTGAATGCACCTTGCATTTTTCGTTCGAACACAGCAAGTCTTGACATTTTTACAGATACTTTGATGTATTGTAGATTATATATACATCAGTTACATTTTTACCTTTTTTAATTTAATATAGCGTAAGTCATAAATGGTCACATTAGCACATGCAGTGAGATATACAGAGATATTACGAAGCATTTCAGTATGATTCAAATCTAATGGCCAATATCGTTCACATTTATTCTACAAAAAAAGATGATCAAATGTATTTTATTCATATCATGGTGTTTACTTCTTTTTTTTTAAGAATAATATATGTTGCATATTATTCTATAAGGTAGAACTATTCATATGAATTGATCAGGCGAATCATTCTTCGGTGAAAGCAAATTAAGAGAAACATTCTGACGTATCTATTTAGTCTATTGAATAGATATGAAACAAATCTTTGCTGATTGATATTTCTGACGACTATAGAGAGCAAACATTCCTTTTTAGATTCAATTAGCTGTCTAACAATAGCTGGATATTCATTGTTTAAATGAGTATATAAACAGAATGACGAATCTACAGATATTATTCATCTATTCTTATCAACAGCTTTCACGTAAGCAAAAATAATTCTTCAAGAATATTTTTTATCAATAACAATGAATAATTGGTTTTATATGAATCGAATGACATTTGTAAATCTTCTTAATGACGAATTAGGTCCAAATCTTACTGGAAAATTATTATCACTTGATTTTGATCTTCCAGTATCATTTATGATTGGTGAAACATCGGATGAAATTCTAACAAAAATTCAACAAACATTTAGTCGTAGGATATGTCGTAAAATAATTTGCAATGAACATTGTACATTATGTTCATTGAATCCATCAACTTATGCAAAATTAACTTGGTTTGTTCAACGTTTACTTGTTATGAATCCATTACGTAAACCTTTTATTAAACAAATTTCATTACCAAAATTATCAAATGAAGATATTTCATGTATGAAAGAGAAAAACGTTACAACTACTTACAATTCGATTGAAGAGAATTCATTAAATGTTAATATTAACAAAAAGAATAGAAATATAACGAATCAAGTAAGTTTTTAAAATATAACTTTATCAAAATAGAACATTCTTATTTTCTTTCTATTTTAAAGAATTCAAATTCTAATTGTTCAGATTGTGAAAAGCTAACAATCATTATATTAATTATGCTCTTTATTATTGGTTTTTTCGTTTTTCGTGCTATTTTCATTGTTTGAGCAATTTATGTAAAAATGATTTATTTTTTGAACTATGTAAAAAAAAACAAATAATCTTTGCATCACCTTCTGTTGTAAATCTACTATAGGTGTGCTATCTTTTGTTCCTTTATAATTTATGTTGCAAATAAATTTTTCTATAACATTATTTAATCAAATCTATTCAACTAACTGTTTGAAAATATCATATTTCAGTTTATAGAAAAACAAACTATTTCGGCATTTTTAAAGCGTACCATTGCTCGTTCTATAAGTCCTGTAAGCATAACAATAATCCTAACCCATTGTATCTTTATATCGACTTTTAAATGACTGATTGCATTGAGTAATTTCTGAAATTTGTTTGTTTGTTGACGATTATTTTGAAGTTTCTAAAAATTGAATAAATTGTTTATCTCAATAAACAAAATAAAGACTAACATTAGATTTATCCGATATATTATAATTATTATTTGCAATCAATTTTTCATATTCAAATGGAAGATCTTTTATTTGAATGGGTTTAAACAATAGAGATTTTATATGCCATTATTCAGATTCAATTCTTTTACCTCAATGTTAAAACGTTTCCGAAACAAAAAAAAATTATATAAAATCACATATAGAAAATATATAAACTTTTGTTTGATTCTATGTGAGAACTTTAATAGAAATACTTTTTTTCTCTGATTATTTGTTTCAAATCGACTTGAGAACTATCCATATAGGACATCTAAGAAATAAAAGAAATATCATCAGTGGAAACTGAAAATTCCCGGTCACAAGGAGAGTCAGACAAATTTAGATATTTGGATACATATTACCATTTTCTTGTTATCTTTTTTATGAATAAATCACGAAATTTTCAAGTTAAGTTAGTTGTGAACAGCATTTTCAACAGAGTAATTTGTCAGAATTCTATGACGTCGTATCGACGAATAAATGATGTATGTGAAAGATATATTAGTTGTCAAGATCGAAGAAAACAATAGAAAAGTTTGTAGAACAAGAACAGTTTCAGCTAAGACATTGTTTTTAGTGCTGCAAAATTACTTAGAATGTGTGATGGTGTAGGTCTTCTCTTCACTCACACTCTCTGTTGTGTTTGTGGCAAAAGTATACTGAGAACGAAGTATCCGGCAATCAGATACCGTTATATTCTTTAACTGTCGGATCCGATAAGATTCTAAACAATTAGCCGATTTTTTTCATTAGGTTTTGACTGTCATAAACTGTCGATATCTAGTAAAAGAAATCACGACAACATCCTAGAAATACAAGTTAACTCACTGTCATTCATTATTTCCTTTGGTTCTGTCAAGCAAAGGAAGACAGGACCGACAAGTTGACCAGTAAGGAATATCATCGGTTGAATAGTATTGGAAGTGTTATGGCATTTTTTGATCTTAGACAAACTAAAGTAACATGTTCACCTTCACGCAAGAGAATTTCTGCCCAGTAGAGCTCTAATTCGAGACCAATCTGATCAGTATTGAGGATTTCTACAGGTTTGTAGTGACTCATTTCTCGTTTTACATTGGCTAAAAAAGGAGTCGGCAGACGCATTGATAACATCGGTATCATCCATATGATGACGAGTCACACTAGTTTTGTAATTTTTCTCGAACATATGCACTGACGATGTTTGAAGACTTGTAGCTAGTTTTTCGATGCTTCGAAATGGAGAATTCGTTCTTCAGCAGCTTTCTGAAGGGCCCATCGCTTCAAATCGAGATCATAGACAGAGAGAACAGGTTCTCGAGCTTCTCCGAATTTGTCGTAGATGAAATTGTCTATTATTCACATTTTCTCTCGTTTTGTACCATCTTGTTCAATGTAGTGACGAAAGCGAGCAATATACTGTCGATGGAGAGATACTTTTGAATTAATGCTTCGCGACTCTCCATGTATGTTTTTTTTCCAGTGAAGTCACGGGCATCATAGTAACCGATGAGCTCTCAAAATTTTTGATCTCATCGAAATTTGGATCAACATTCTCATCCTCAGAATTGCTGACCTCGTTGTCATCAGCGTGATCGAGTGTTGTTTCTGATTCAACTTCAAATGAAGTGCACTTTTGGATGTGTTCAATTACTTCGAGCAAAGAGCGTTCAATTTCTTTTTCGAGTGGACTTGCTCTCGATCCACTAAAAGTTTCGTGATTCTTACAGCATCACTCGTATTTTCGTTACACAAAAGCGTAAAGAACGTGTTATTTGATTAAGAATGCTTCGCTCCATTAACACTATCACATGACACCACGTATCCTTTATGTCGCATCATTCATTATCATCACTCTTAAGAGAATGCAAAAGAATGCTGGTAATATACAACTACTGTTGGTTATTCGTGGATCACTACCTCTGTTATGATAGTTGATATGTTAGAAAAAACTACTGTGACTTATAGAAATGAGATAATCCGAAAATTTCACCGTAAGATGCTGAAGAAACAGCGAGTTTATCATGAAATTTCTAGCTAACAGAACATTTTTTGTTTTTGAAATGTCCACAGTAGAGGATCAAAATCTTTCTTACATGCTGGAACTTGAAAATTGAATATCTCAGCTCATAAGAGCCATGGACCTTCGGGTACCTCCATTGTCAGCGATATTCTCAGACTAAATTGATTAAGATAGTTCGGACATGTCAACCGTATGCACAACATACAGAGCAAATCAATGGTGATGAGAAAGATGCAACGTCGCCGGTACGGAGTAAAAAGACAATGTAAAGATAAAATTGAAATGGATCTATATGTTGAAGGTATCTTTAACTCGTGGAGACGGGACATGCGGCATAAAGATAAAAGGCACACTCTGATTAATCATCGTATAGAGGTTAAGCCACTAGAACTTGGTACAGTTGGTGTTGTTAATTGATATAGAGAAAAATCAGTAACAAGAAGAAAAAAAGAAAAAGAACAAACCAACACAATAGAAAAAAATGTTGACAGCATAGAATTTTTAAACTGTGAAAGGAAGTGCAACAATGAAATTAGCATATGGGTTCATAAACATCCTTGCAACAAAAAGAAAAATTATCGAAACCAATTGCAACCAAGTTAGACTTGATAAAAAGAAATGTCAACATGAAACAGCTAATACTCAACAGTAAAAGGCCAAAAATCATTGATCTTTTGAAAAAAAAATACTGATGGCAGTTACAATTGCCCAATTAAGAAATGGCAAAATGTTGGAAAAACATTTCTTCGTCAAGGTATCATAGTACATATGAAATCATATGCGATAAAATGTTTGACTGGAAAAGACTAGGAGCGAATCCAGGGGACAACAGAGTTACCATCAATTACTCTGTTTGAAATTTCTTTGTGTTATACCTCAAAGTATTCTTTATTTCTATGAAGTGTACCGATACATTGAGTGTACAGTTGTTACTATTTTTAACTTTGCAGTATCTGTATCGTTTGATTAACGACTAGAGGGAGGAAGAGGAATAGCATATATATCTAAATTTTTCAAGCATTTACTACCCGGTCAGACAAAGTTTTTCAAAAACGCGTTTAAACGCCTAAAACCTCAATTAGAGAGCGTTTTTAAAAAGCTGGTCATGTAAACGTCAACTATTTTATTTTTAGGTAAATGAAAACTGTTAAAATATCAACAGCCGTTTTATGTATCCTCATAAACGATTGAAAAGCTACACCCAATGCGTTTTAACGCTTATTTTGTTTGGTATGCGCATTTTGCATAGAAATTCCATAGTTTCAGGCGTTTTTCATTAGCAATTTTCTTTCAGTGTTCGGAATGTTGAATCATAGACGTTAAAATTTATATAAAATAATACTTTTTAGGGTGTTAATCTGCCTATTGTTTTTCCGCTTTTCTGTATGTAGAAAGATAGCTTGATAACTCAAAAAAATTAAAGAATACTATGCCTATTCAACACCAAAATTTTCATTTCGATTAGTTCTGTATATTTATAAACGTTAGCACGCTTACAATATCATATCAGCATTATTTATCTGCGCTTCCACGCGTTAAATCAATAAATTCTTATGGATTAAACGTTGATGAAATATTGATGTGTTCAACAGAGCAAAATATTATGTGTGTTACAGCTAAAACGCAAATAACTTTTATTAGTAGCATACATCTAATCTTTGAAACACCTGGATTGCGAGATCTTTTCGCATTTTAACGATGTTTTTGCAGTTTTGTGTCACGAATGTTCCAAAAAATTGACTTTTCTGCGGTTTCAATAAATATTTTTTGATCGATTGATACAATCCAGCATTCAATATGAAAGGAGTAGGGAGAGAGATTTTACTGAAATCATAAATTAAAATGAAATGTAATCATAATTACTTTTCAGAAAAGAAGTGGCAGTTGCCAAAAAAATCCTTTAAATATGTTTTTAAACTGAACGATAGTATTCATTTGAGTAAAATACCATATGAAAATCTTTCTCTATGTACAGTGTACGCCAAAAGTTCTGGAACAAACTTTTCGCTTTTATAATATTATATTAAGAAGCTATTATGAGCAAATAGTGATGTACTTTGATAGATCTAATAGCGACCTTTCATATACTGTTATAGCATTAGAATTGAATGTTTCTGTAACAAGTTATATAAGTTTCAATATTAGCCCCTTGGCCAAAAGTTCTGGGACACTGCAGGATATTCCATTGAATACGTAATATTATATACGAAAAATGCTTCGATTAAGCTGAAAATTTCTGAACTTGTAGTTCTTAGGTAGACAATATTATTCATAAAAAAAGTTTTGAAAAATGGAATGGAATCGTAGTTTGGTGGAAGCAACAAGAATAACATCTTCAGACCTCCCCTCAAAAACTGATTTCGTCCCAGGTACGTTCAATATCGCATGAAACTTTCAGGATATGTTGGGAGTACTGACGCTAGTAAATATCCAAAGTTTCAGCTCATTTCTTCATACCAATTTTGAGATATTTCAATTTTAAGGTTCAAAAATTGCACTTTTTCAATGCAAAAGTTCTTCCACGCCTTACGTGCAAAATGACCCGGGACGGTTTTAA